GCCTTTGTGTCTACTGTTCTGAGAACTTCAGTGTGGCTCTCCCTAACAGTGAGGACATTGTCTTGCATGATCATGATACCATTATCACACTTAGAAACAGTAATTCCCTACTTTTATTTAATAGGTTGCATTCAAATTTGCCCAGTTAGCCCCCAGTTTAAAAAAAATTTTGGAGCCAGGCTCGGTGGCTCAGCCTGTAATCCCGCGCCTTTGGGAGGCTGAGGTGAGTGGATTGCCTGAGCCCGCGGGTTCGAGATCCGCCTGGGCAGCGAGACCTCATCTCTACAATAAATAAAAAAATCAGCCGGGCGTGGTAGCACGCGCCTGTAATTCCGGCTACTTAGAAGGCTGAGGCGGAAGGGTCGCCGGAGCCCAGCGGGTCGAGGCTGCGGTGGCCGGGAGCAGCCACTGCACTCCAGTCTGGGCGACAGAGTGAGACTCCAACTCAAAAAAAAAAAAATTTTGGAACCAAGATGTACTGAAAGTAACATGTTGAATATGTTTATAAAGTAGAATTTATGTTTTTTTTCAATCTATAAAAATATGCCTGTCTTTTAAAAAAAATTTTGACTTTAAAATATATACACACATGAAAATGTAATTCTCACTTACCCATCATCTAGCTTTAGCAGTTGTCTGCTGATAGTTGATCTTTTACATCTGCACTGCTACCACTTTCCTCTATACTATTTTGAAGCAAATCTCAGATGTTATATTCATCTGTTTTTTGGTACTTTTTTTTTTTTTTTGAGTTGGAGTCTCACTCTGTCGCTCAGACTGGAGTATAGTGCCTGCTCCCGGCCACTGCAGCCTCGACCTGCTGGGCTCCGGCTATCCTTCCGCCTCAACCTTCCAAGTAGCTGGAACTACAGGCGTGCGCTACCATGCCCAGCTAATTTTTTATTTATTGTAGAGAAGAGGTCTCGCCAAGTTGCCCAGGCGGGTCTCGAACCCGCAGGCTCAGGCAATCCACTCACCTCAGCCTCCCCAAGCGAGGGATTACAGGCTGAGCCACCGAGCCCGGCTCTTTTTTTGTTTTTTTTGAGTCGGAGTCTCTGTCACCCAGGCTAGAGTGCAGTGGCATGCTCATGGCCACCACAGCCTCAACCTACTGGACTCAGGCGATCCTTTCACCTCAGCCTTCCAAGTAGCTGGAACCACAGGGATGCACCACCACACCCAGCTAAGGTTTTTTTGATTTACTGTAGAGGTGAGGTCTCGCCAAGTTGCCCAGGCTAGTCTTGAGCCCGTGGGCACAGGCAGTCCTCTAGCCTCTGCCTCTCAAAGTACTGGGATTGCAGGCGTGAGCCACTGTGGCCGGCCGTGCCATGTTTTTTAATCGTATAATAAAAGAAAGTGGGCCCTGTTGCCTTGTTCTTTTAAACCGGGTAAAAATGGGCTAGCATCAGAAGTTTTGAATGTGATTCCCAGCTTTCAGGCCAAGCTTCTATTTTTAAAAGATGGTGCGCAGAGGGCAGCTCTGTGGTTGTTTTGATTGTGTCACTTTTGTTAGGAACGATCACCTTGGTCACATGTGAATTTAGCGACTCCTGGGAGGCTTTCTTGATTCAGGCTAGTGGAACCCCTGGGGGCAGAAACTAGATTTAAGCTACAGGGTGGGAATCCCACTTAGCAGTGTCTAACTACAGGTTAGCTCGGTAGGGCCTCCTAGTGTCTGGTGGGTGCGTGGATGTGAGAAGGCGGGAATGGGGTGACCTGGGGAGGAGGAACCATAACGGACAAGACCTGATCCTTCCTTACCTTCATCCCTGTAGTTTGTTTTGAGACAACCTTAGACTTCCCTCCCCTGAGCTGATCCCTGCTTGCCTGTCAAGACTACGCAAAATGCTGGTGTGCCAGTGATCTGTGTTCTTGTGTGTTTCCCCTGAAGTTGAGCACCTTGTGAAGAGGGCTGGATCTTTGCTTACCATCTCTCAGGCAGGGCCTGGCTCCATGTTGGTGACAAATGGCCACTCTGTAATGTCCCCATCGCTGAGACTGGTCACTCTGTGTCTGCCATGCACTGTGCCTCTTGTCTTCTCAGAGCTGGCCGTTTACTTGGGAGGTGTCTTGGCCTCCTCTTGGGAGTGTCAATGCATGGCTAGAACTGATGGTTATCACACTACCCATTTCTTTATAAAGATGTCCTGTAATCTTGTTGTGGTGTAATTGGCACACAATAAAGTGCACAGATTTAAAGCTTTGGTTGATGAGTTTTAACATGTACATACCCACTTTCCTTCTTTTTTTTTTTTTGAGTTGGAGACTGTCGCCCAGACTGGAATGCAGTGGCATGCTCACAGCTACCGCAGCCTTGACCTGCTGGGTTCAGGTGATCCTTCCACCTTAGCCTTCTAAGTAACTGAAACTACAGGCATGCGCCACCATGCCCGGCTAATTTTTTGATTTATTGTAGAGATGAGGTCTCATCAAGTTGCCCAGGCTGGTCTCGAACCCGTAGGCTCAGGCCAACCTCTCACCTCAGCCTCCCAAAGTGCTGGGATTACTGGCATGAGCCACTGTCCTTCTTAAAGACAAGGAGATGAGCAGCTAGAGAAAGGGACTCTCACTGCTCTCGTCTTAAAACTTGCTTTTCTGAATCCCAGTAGAAAATATGTGTGTTCTGCTCTCCTTTAGCTAAGCACTGGTGTTGAAGGTTGGAGCATTCAGATTTCAGCGACATTCATACTTCCAGTTAACATAGTGGTGAATTAATTTCAAAATTATGCACAGAGACGAAGAGGGGTTAATTGTTTGAGCTCAGAAGCTTCGGTTTTTTTCTCTTTCACGTAGAGACCTGGCTGAGGTTGGGAGTTGCCTGGTTTAAGAAAGGGATCAGGACTGGGTACAGATGAATCTGGGTTTCAGTGCTTTCTGAGTGGCTAGTCTCTGTGCAGCATCTTTGTCTGCAGAACCATGAAGTACGTTCTGGAGAGTACAGGAAGACATGAGAAAGTGGGACGCTGGGGGATTAATGCTACTCAACAGGGCACAGCATGCTTTACTCGGATGATGGGTGCACTCAAGGCCCAGGCCCACCACTGTGCAGCGTATCCATGCAACAAAACTGCGCTTGCACCCCTAATTCTATATAGAGGAAAAAGGTCTTGCTGTACATGGCAGTCTGATGACGACCTTCAGGTGTCGACTTGTAGCTAAGGCAGAACAGTTGAATGGGGTAGGCTTGGTGTCTTGGAGGAAAGGAACGTGTCTTGTGGCTAAAAAGAAAGGTTGTCTAAAACTGGTGAATTTCCTGGGAGTGACTCATTCTATTTCTTTAAGCAATTAAAACAAAATATATGTACGTTGCTAAACACAGTCAAACAGTATAACTGAAATTAAAAAAAAATTAACCCTAAATGTGTTTATACTTAGCCCATGTTTTAAACTTGAAATATAATCTAGGTTCAAAACACCACCTATTACCTGTTTAGCTGAGTGAGTTTTGACAGCTGTACACACCCGTGGAACCACTGCCCCAGTGAAAGGACTTTTTAAACTCACCCCCAGAGGGCTTGCTTTGCCCTGCCCTCTTCCTGGTTTCCGTCACCATAGAAAAATTCACTTGTCAGGTAAGTAAGCAGGGTGTCACATGTGCTGTTCTGTGTGATTTCTTTGGATAGCTCAGCATGGTTCGAGATTCATCTGTGTTTTTTCCTCTGGATTGCCAATTAGCGTCTATATGGACACAATTTATTCTTTCTCCTGTTGAACATTTGGGTTATTTTCTACTTTTGGCTGTTAGCAGCAAGATGGGTGAGCATTTTTACCAATCCTGTGGTGGTCCTCTGTTTCCACTCTGCTGGGGCGAGTATCCGGGAATGGGAGCTGGGTGCTGTGCGAAGTGGGTCCGTGGCCCAAGATGGCACGCTGCCTGGGGCACTCCCCACGTCCTCACAGCACAGCAAAATGCCACCTGACTTGGAAAGCGCTTGCATAGAGGGCTGTTTTACGTGCTTCAGCTCATCCTCCCCGCGTGCAGTCTGGCTTGTTTGGGCAGTTGTGCGCAGCTACAGACTACGCCCACAGTCAGGTGGCTGTGGTCTTCTGGAAGGCTCCTGTGTGGCCCTCATTCCCCTGGCCACACCAAGGGGTGTTTACACTGGATTCCGTCGGTCTTGGAACTTCTCAGCGGATGTGCACAGCACGTGCTCTTGTGTCTGACTTCCTTCCCATGATGCCACTGAGGTTGGCCCGTGTTGTTAGCTGTCTCGGCAGTCGGCTCCTTTGTTGCTGAGTAGTGTGTGGTTGCATGACTGTACCGCAGCTTGTCTGTCCTTCGTCTGCTGGTGGTGCCGCGGCCCTGGGTGGCTTTTTGTCGTCACGAATGCAGCTGCTCTGGGCATAGCAGTCCAGGGCCCCTCTGCCACCCTGCCCAGAGAGCAAGTGCCTGTTTTGTGTGGGCTGGTCAGGCGGGGGCACCGGGCACCTCACTGTTTGCTTACGCTCCAGCCACCCTTCCAGATCTCTTGGAAACCGTGGGGGGCCAACAGTGTCCGGGTCTTTGTGAGGAGGGCTGCCCTTCTCGCTGGAGAACAGCTTTCTTGAGTCAGCGAATCATTTTCCACTGCAGCCTGTTAGGCTTAGGATGTCATCTTCCCTTCCATTCTCAGTGTGGCTTCATGTCTTTTCATGTCTCGCTCTGCTTTGTTGTCGTTTCTGTGTCATTTTGGACGGGGACAAAAGCGAGTGCGTGTGCTACGGTTGCCCCAGGCCAGAAGTCTTTTCCGCAGGCGGCGTGTGGCCACCCTAGCGTTGGGTGAATGTCTCCTTGGCTTTTGCTGTCGTCGCACTGTGAGCGTGCTCATGGGTGAGCTCTCTAGGGCGGGTTCCTTTTATTATTTATTTGAGGACATGGGGTGCCGTTCAGGGGTAGGTCTCCAGATGTTCATTGTGCAGGCGCCCCTGTGAAGAAGCGTGCCCCCCGCCCCCCGGCAGTTTCCCTCCTGTCTAGAAGCAGGACCGAGGGATTCCAAGCTGTCTGTACTGCTCATGCCCAGTGGAGCCCGGAGGGCCCTGCCGATCCAAGTGCCTGCGGGCCAAGGCGGGTGCAGGCGCCGCGCTCGCGTGGGCCTGCAGTCTGCCGACGGCTCCTTTGGCCCCTTCCTGCGCCCACAGCTCCAGCGCCGCGCGCGCCCGGCGCGGGGGGAGAAG